CTCTCACGACCGTTGACCTTCTGTTTGTGCTGTTTTGTTAATAATAACAATAATGACAGTATTATCTCCCGTTATCGGGGACAGGAAGCCTGTATTTTGGCTTTGACATGCCCATAGGCCTACTGACTCTCCCCTCGACGTAACCCATCAACAATTGATTAACTCCTACGTGCCTATTTACTACTGGGTGAACAGGTGCACTAGGTGGAAGGGAACGTGGTCAACCATTGCTATCCTGCACGGGAATCGAACCCGGGATCCCTGGGAGTCGTGAACGTTCAACAGTATTTTGATGTAATGGCTTTCATCAGTCTGATTATAAGAGAAAAGTCTCAAGGTAGGACAGTGACGGTTGGGCAAGTTTTTTCCCCTCTGATGCTTCTGTTCACCTAACAGTAAATAGCCTAGTGTTAAGCAACTGTTGTGGGTACAAACAAAGCTCCTGGTCCCCGACTTTGGGAAGCTAATCCCACTCTTTAGATTCCATTTTCGTTTTGGGAAATTTGTCTGTTGCAGTCACCCGTTAATTGACCCATTTTCTTCTTTAACTCCCGCTCCGTTTTCTATAATGTCGTACTTTGATCTTCCGCAAGAGCAAAATATTATTTTCAAAGTATTAAAGCTTAATCGATTCATTTTTGAACGTCAAAATGAATGAAGCTGAAGCTTTGTGCTGAAGCTTCAGCGCTCAGGAAGCTTGAGCAGTCCCCTCCCCCCCCCTCCCCAGTAGCCAGTATTGGTGAAAGATATGGAGTAGCCTGAGGAGTTGTTTTTCTGTGTTGACATTTGTGGAGTAAACTTTTGAACGTTTGTGAACTTTTGATCTGAGAATACTGTACGAGTTTGTTATGTCCGGGGAGATGTAGACCAGAGATAGAGAGAGAGAGAGACGACAGAGACACAGAGAGGAGAGAGAGAGAGAGAGAGAGAGAGAGAGAGAGAGAGAGAGAGAGAGAGAGAGAGAGAGAGAGAGAGAGAGAAGAGACAGAGAGAGGAGAGGAGAGAGAGAGAGAGAGAGAAGAGAGAGAGAGAGAGAGAGAGAGAGAGAGAGAGAGAGAGAGAGAAGAGACAGAGAGAGGAGAGGAGAGAGAGAGAGAGAGAGAGAAGAGACAGAGAGAGGAGAGGAGAGACAGAGAGAGAGAGAGAGAGAGAGACAGAGAGAGGAGAGGAGAGACAGAGAGAGCATTACCACACCAAAGGACCTTCTCTACACAGAGCAGCTCTCCTCACACCACCAATATGACAATCTAAAGATCCCCCCCCCCCCCGCAACAGGGTGTACAGGAGGCAGGGGGGGGGGCTACACCCCACAGTACACAGTACACAGTACACAGTACACAGACCATGCCACCAGAGCCTAGACAGCGGCAGGGCTGTAAGAGGCGCCAGGCTGCGACAAATCCTCGGCAAACTTTACACAATTTATGACAGATAAAGAACTTTACACGCCATGTGCAGTCTCCTGCTAAAACACACACACGCGCGTGCACACACACACGCACACACGCACTGGTGGCCTGATAGCTGAGTGGACAGCGCTCTGGACTCGTAATCCTAGGGTCCGGGTTCGATTCCCGCACTAGGCAGAAACAAATGGGCACAGTTTCTTTAACCCTGAATGCCCCTGTTCACCTAGCAGTAAATAGGTACCTGGGAGTTAGACAGCTGTTACGGGCTGCTTCCTGTGTGTGTGTGTACTCAGCTAGTTGTGCTTGCGGGGGTTGAGCTCTGGCTCTTTGGTCCCGCCTCTCAACCGTCACTCAACTCTGTGTGTGTGTGTGTGTGTGTGTGTGTGTGTGTGTGTGTGTGTAGGGGGGGGGGAGGCTACCCCTGGTGACTGACAGACTGGGGCTCAGGGATTGCTTCCCAAACAGATATGTACATAATATTATCCCCAGCTCATGGCCAATCCTCTCCCCCCCCCGTGTGTGTGTGCGTGTGTGTGTGTGTGTGTGTCAGTGTGTGTGTGTGTGTGTGTGTGTGTGTGTGTGTGTGTGTGTGTGTGTGTGTGTGTGTGTGTGTGTGTGTGTGTGTGTGTGTGTGTGTGTGTGTGTGTGTGTATGCGTGTGTGTGTGTGTGTGTGCGTGCGTGTGTGTGCGTGCGTGTGTGTATGTGTGTGTGTGTACGCGCGCGCGCGTGTGTGTGTGTGTGCTCCCCTAGCACTCAAATCATCACCAGATGTTAATATCTATGTCCTGCCTGCCTCTGTACCTACACACGACCATTCAAATAAGAGGCGGGACCAGAGAGCCCGAGCTCAACCCCCTGCAAGCACAATCATCCATGGGGTCGACCGCTGGATGGAATGAACTTGCTCTAAGGACGGGTTGGCCCAAGACACACAATACACAACCCAACAACTTATCTAACGCCACATAAACTACTCTGCCACTCTCCACTAACAACTTACGCCGGCTCTTCAAGGTTTACCTACAAGTCTTGAAATCCCTCTAAAGACATGGAGGGTCGTTAGTGATTTGTTACGAACGAGCTGTAAGGTGGTTTATGGTAAACAAGGCGTGTAGTTGACCTCGTATATGGGATTATCTTGAGAAGTTTTGTCACAAGGGAAAGGGAGGCTGTGACTCATACGTCAGGCTGCGAGCAGCCGCGTCCAACAGCCTGGTTGATCAGTCCGGCAACCAGGAGGCCTGGTCGACGACCGGGCCGCAGGGACGCTAAGCCCCGGAAGCACCTCAAGGTATCCGGTCCCAAATGTGGCGCCGTTATTCATAGGTAATTCATGCATGTATACATCCATACACATTGTATTGTGGGGTATACAGGTGTATATTGTGGGTATACAGGTATACACTAGGTAGGGACCTACAAAATATCGTCACTAGTGTGCAAAAAGGGGATAAACTAACATATATATATCCACCAGGAACATGATAAGCAATTTATTAGATTATACAACCTTCGTGAGACCATTCCTGGAGTGTGCAGCTCACGCAGAAATAGGCAGGAGCCGTTGAGTTAGATAACTAGTGATTGACAGTTAAGAGGCGGGCAGAAAGAGCCAGAGCTCAACCCCCCACAAGCACAACTAGTTGAGTACAACTAGGTTAACACACACACACACACACACACACACACACACACACACACACACACACACACACACACACACACACACACACACACACACACACGCAGTAACCTTCAAATTGATCTACATAAAATAAGTGCTTGGAGCGTCAAGTGGCAAATGGAATTCAATGTGAATAAATGCCATGTTATAGTGTGGAATCGGAGAAAATAGACCAGACACATAAAGAACATAGTGAGAGGAGCGCATGCGTCGCTCCCCAACAGTGAAGGTTCACTGTACACTGTACACCTTCACTGTAGCTTCACTGTACACTGTACACCTTCACTGTAGCTTCACCGTACACTGTACACCTTCACTGTAGCTTCACCGTACACTGTACACCTTCACTGTAGCTTCACTGTACACCTTCACTGTAGCTTCACCGTACACTGTACACCTTCACCATTCACCGCAGCAAGCGACTTAAGTAATCTTACTATAGTGAGTCTACCCTTCACTATACACATTGTATACCTTTGGTCATAAAACATTAACTAGACTAGAATCTATGGATAGTTAAGTACCCAATTAGCCCTTAACGGTAGTTAAACATTAACTATGTCACTAAGACGAGTTAACCAGCCCCTCAGGTGAGGGGGGCTGGTCACCCCTGTCCCCTCGTCCCTGTCAAGGTGGTTCATCCCGTCTTACGTGCTGTAACGGTAGTTTGGGCTTGTTTGATCGGCAGTTATGGTAGTTAGAGCTGTTTTGATTGAGAAAAACGGTAGCTGGGGGCTGTTTGTGGCACCAAACGGTAGCTGGGGACTGTTTGTGACACCAAACGGTAGCTGGGGACTGTTTGTGGCAACAAACAGTAGCTGGGGACTGTTTGTGACACCAAACGGTAGCTGGGGGACTGTTTGTGGCAACAAACAGTAGCTGGGGACTGTTTGGGGCAACAAACGGTAGCTGGGGGCTGTTTGTGACACCAAACGGTAGCTGGGGGACTGTTTGTGGCAACAAACGGTAGCTGGGGGCTGTTTGTGGCACCAAACGGTAGCTGGGGGACTGTTTGTGGCACCAAACGGTAGCTGGGGGCTGTTTGTGACACCAAACGGTAGCTGGGGGACTGTTTGTGGCAACAAACGGTAGCTGGGGGGCTGTTTGTGGCACCAAACGGTAGCTGGGGGGACTGTTTGTGGCAACAAACGGTAGCTGGGGGCTGTTTGTGACACCAAACGGTAGTGGGGGCACCAAACGGTAGCTGGGGGACTGTTTGTGCTGCAACAAACGGTAGCTGGGGGACTGTTTGTGGCAACAAACGGTAGCTGGGGACTGTTTGTGACACCAAACGGTAGCTGGGGACTGTTTGTGGCACCAAACGGTAGCTGGGGACTGTTAGATCAACAGTAGTGTGGCTGCCGTTTGGGCTGAAGAGTTATTATACAGCCTCGTAAACGGTGAAAATTAGCGGCATTACCATAAGAAAAGCCGCCAGCTTGAAGTGTCCTGAGACGGGCTGCTTCAGGGCTGCTTCAGGGCTGCTTCAGGGCTGCTTCAGGGCTGCTTCAGGGCTGCTGCTGGGGCTGCTGCTGGGGCTGCTTCAGGGCTGCTTCAGGGCTGCTGCTGGGGCTGCTTCAGGGCTGCTTCAGGGCTGCTGCTGGGCTGCTTCAGGGCTGCTTCAGGGGCTGCTTTAGGGGCTGCTTTAGGGGCTGCTTCAGGGCTGCTTCAGGGTATGCTTCAGGGCTGCTGCTGGGGCTGCTTCAGGGCTGCTGCTGGGGCTGCTGCTGGGGCTGCTTCAGGGCTGCTGCTGGGGCTGCTTCAGGGCTGCTTCAGGGTATGATTCAGGGCTGCTGCAGGGTATGATTCAGGGCTGCTTCAGGGCTGCTTCAGGGCTGCTTCAGGGGCTGCTTCAGGGTATGCTTCAGGGGCTGCTTCAGGGCTGCTTCAGGGGCTGCTTCAGGGCATGCTTCAGGGCATGCTTCAGGGCCATGCTTCAGGGCTGCTTCAGGCCATGCTTCAGGGCATGCTTCAGGGCCATGCTTCAGGGCATGCTTCAGGGCCATGCTTCAGGGCATGCTTCAGGGCCATGCTTCAGGGCCATGCTTCAGGGCATGCTTCAGGCCATGCTTCAGGGCCATGCTTCAGGGCATGCTTCAGGGCCATGCTTCAGGGCATGCTTCAGGGCCATGCTTCAGGGCCATGCTTCAGGGCCATGCTTCAGGGCATGCTTCAGGCCATGCTTCAGGGCCATGCTTCAGGGCATGCTTCAGGGCCATGCTTCAGGGCCATGCTTCAGGCCATGCTTCAGGGCCATGCTTCAGGGCCATGCTTCAGGGCATGCTTCAGGGCATGCTTCAGGGCCATGCTTCAGGCCATGCTTCAGGGCCATGCTTCAGGGCATGCTTCAGGGCCATGCTTCAGGGCCATGCTTCAGGGCCATGCTTCAGGCCATGCTTCAGGGCCATGCTTCAGGGCCATGCTTCAGGGCCATGCTTCAGGGCCATGCTTCAGGGCATGCTTCAGGGCCATGCTTCAGGGCCATGCTTCAGGGCCATGCTTCAGGGCATGCTTCAGGGCCATGCTTCAGGGCATGCTTCAGGGCCATGCTTCAGGGCCATGCTTCAGGGCCATGCTTCAGGGCATGCTTCAGGGCCATGCTTCAGGGCCATGCTTCAGGGCATGCTTCAGGGTGCTCCATTCTCAACAATGTACCATGTCGACACGTGTTAGGTGGTATAAGCTTGTCTACCTAACACGTGTTAGGTGGTATAAGCTTGTCTACCTAACACGTGTTAGGTGGTATAAGCTTGTCTACCTAACACGTGTTAGGTGGTATAAGCTTGTCTACCTAACACGTGTTAGGTGGTATAAGCTTGTCTACCTAACACGTGTTAGGTGGTATAAGCTTGTCTACCTAACACGTGTTAGGTGGTATAAGCTTGTCTACCTAACACGTGTTAGGTGGTATAAGCTTGTCTACCTAACACGTGTTAGGTGGTATAAGCTTGTCTACCTAACACGTGTTAGGTGGTATAAGCTTGTCTACCTAACGCGTGTTAGGTGGTATAAGCTTGTCTACCTAACGCGTGTTAGGTGGTATAAGCTTGTCTACCTAACGCGTGTTAGGTGGTATAAGCTTGTCTACCTAACGTGTGTTAGGTGGTATAAGCTTGTCTACCTAACACGTGTTAGGTGGTATAAGCTTGTCTACCTAACGCGTGTTAGGTGGTATAAGCTTGTCTACCTAACGCGTGTTAGGTGGTATAAGCTTGTCTACCTAACGCGTGTTAGGTGGTATAAGCTTGTCTACCTAACGCGTGTTAGGTGGTATAAGCTTGTCTACCTAACACGTGTTAGGTGGTATAAGCTTGTCTACCTAACGCGTGTTAGGTGGTATAAGCTTGTCTACCTAACGCGTGTTAGGTGGTATAAGCTTGTCTACCTAACGCGTGTTAGGTGGTATAAGCTTGTCTACCTAACGCGTGTTAGGTGGTATAAGCTGTCTACCTAACACGTGTTAGGTGGTATAAGCTTGTCTACCTAACGAGTGTTAGGTGGTATAGCTTGTCTACCTAACGCGTGTTAGGTGTATAAGCTTGTCTACCTAACACGTGTTAGGTGGTATAGCTTGTCTCTAACACGTGGTGGTGGTATAAGCTTGTCTACCTCTACAGAGGCAGTGTGTGTGGGTGTAGTATACCTCTACAGAGGCAGGTGTGTGGGTATAGTACACCTCTACAGAGGCAGGTGTGTGGGATAGCTTACCTCTACAGAGGCAGTGTGTGGGTGGTAGCTACTACCTCTACAGAGGCAGGTGTGTGTCTACCTAACGCGTGTTAGGTGGTATAAGCCTCTACAGGGTAGTTAACAACCTGCAGGTGTGTTGGTGAGTAGTATCACCTCTGACTGTTGTGTGTGGCTTGTGCTCCAGTACACAGAGGCAGGTGTGTGGGATAGCGTACCTCTACAGAGGCAGGTGTGTGGGTGTAGTACACCTCTACAGAGGCAGGTGTGTGGGTGTAGTACACCTCTACAGAGGCAGGTGTGTGGGATAGTACACCTCTACAGAGGCAGGTGTGTGGGATAGTAGTACCTCTACAGAGGCAGGTGTGTGGGTGTAGTACACCTCTACAGAGGCAGGTGTGTGGGATAGTGTACCTCTACAGAGGCAGGTGTGTGGGTGTAGTACACCTCTACAGAGGCAGGTGTGTGGGTGTAGTACACCTCTACAGAGGCAGGTGTGTGGGATAGTGTACCTCTACAGAGGCAGGTGTGTGGGATAGTGTACCTCTACAGAGGCAGGTGTGTGGGTGTAGTACACCTCTACAGAGGCAGGTGTGTGGGATAGTGTACCTCTACAGAGGCAGGTGTGTGGGATAGTGTACCTCTACAGAGGCAGGTGTGTGGGTGTAGTACACCTCTACAGAGGCAGGTGTGTGGGGTAGTGTACCTCTACAGAGGCAGGTGTGTGGGTGTAGTACACCTCTACAGAGGCAGGTGTGTGGGATAGTGTACCTCTACAGAGGCAGGTGTGTGGGTGTAGTACACCTCTACAGAGGCAGGTGTGTGGGATAGTGTACCTCTACAGAGGCAGGTGTGTGGGTGTAGTACACCTCTACAGAGGCAGGTGTGTGGGATAGTGGGTGTACCTCTACAGAGGCAGGTGTGTGGGATAGTGTACACTCTACAGAGGCAGGTGTGTGGGATAGTGTACCTCTACAGAGGCAGGTGTGTGGGATAGTGTACCTCTACAGAGGCAGGTGTGTGGGATAGTGTACCTCTACAGAGGCAGGTGTGTGGGATAGTGTACCTCTACAGAGGCAGGTGTGTGGGTGTAGTACACCTCTACAGAGGCAGGTGTGTGGGATAGTGTACCTCTACAGAGGCAGGTGTGTGGGATAGTGTACCTCTACAGAGGCAGGTGTGTGGGTGTAGTACACCTCTACAGAGGCAGGTGTGTGGGTGTAGTACACCTCTACAGAGGCAGGTGTGTGGGTGTAGTACACCTCTACAGAGGCAGGTGTGTGGGTGTAGTACACCTCTACAGAGGCAGGTGTGTGGGATAGTGTACCTCTACAGAGGCAGGTGTGTGGGGTAGTGTACCTCTACAGAGGCAGGTGTGTGGGATAGTGTACCTCTACAGAGGCAGGTGTGTGGGTGTAGTACACCTCTACAGAGGCAGGTGTGTGGGTGTAGTACACCTCTACAGAGGCAGGTGTGTGGGTGTAGTACACCTCTACAGAGGCAGGTGTGTGGGTGTAGTACACCTCTACAGAGGCAGGTGTGTGGGTGTAGTACACCTCTACAGAGGCAGGTGTGTGGGTGTAGTACACCTCTACAGAGGCAGGTGTGTGGGTGTACACCTCTACAGAGGCAGGTACACCTCTACAGAGGCAGGTGTGTGGGTGTAGTACACCTCTACAGAGGCAGGTGTGTGGGTGTAGTACACCTCTACAGAGGCAGGTGTGTGGGATAGTGTACCTCTACAGAGGCAGGTGTGTGGGTGTAGTACACCTCTACAGAGGCAGGTGTGTGGGTGTAGTACACCTCTACAGAGGCAGGTGTGTGGGTGTAGTACACCTCTACAGAGGCAGGTGTGTGGGATAGTGTACCTCTACAGAGGCAGGTGTGTGGGTGTAGTACACCTCTACAGAGGCAGGTGTGTGGGATAGTGTACCTCTACAGAGGCAGGTGTGTGGGATAGTGTACCTCTACAGAGGCAGGTGTGTGGGATAGTGTACCTCTACAGAGGCAGGTGTGTGGGATAGTGTACCTCTACAGAGGCAGGTGTGTGGGTGTAGTACACCTCTACAGAGGCAGGTGTGTGGGTGTAGTACACCTCTACAGAGGCAGGTGTGTGGGATAGTGTACCTCTACAGAGGCAGGTGTGTGGGATAGTGTACCTCTACAGAGGCAGGTGTGTGGGATAGTGTACCTCTACAGAGGCAGGTGTGTGGGGTAGTGTACCTCTACAGAGGCAGGTGTGTGGGATAGTGTACCTCTACAGAGGCAGGTGTGTGGGATAGTGTACCTCTACAGAGGCAGGTGTGTGGGATAGTGTACCTCTACAGAGGCAGGTGTGTGGGATAGTGTACCTCTACAGAGGCAGGTGTGTGGGGTAGTGTACCTCTACAGAGGCAGGTGTGTGGGTGTAGTACACCTCTACAGAGGCAGGTGTGTGGGATAGTGTACCTCTACAGAGGCAGGTGTGTGGGATAGTGTACCTCTACAGAGGCAGGTGTGTGGGATAGTGTACCTCTACAGAGGCAGGTGTGTGGGTGTAGTGTACCTCTACAGAGGCAGGTGTGTGGGTGTAGTACACCTCTACAGAGGCAGGTGTGTGGGTGTAGTACACCTCTACAGAGGCAGGTGTGTGGGTGTAGTACACCTCTACAGAGGCAGGTGTGTGGGTGTAGTACACCTCTACAGAGGCAGGTGTGTGGGTGTAGTACACCTCTACAGAGGCAGGTGTGTGGGTGTAGTACACCTCTACAGAGGCAGGTGTGTGGGTGTAGTACACCTCTACAGAGGCAGGTGTGTGGGTGTAGTACACCTCTACAGAGGCAGGTGTGTGGGATAGTGTACCTCTACAGAGGCAGGTGTGTGGGTGTAGTACACCTCTACAGAGGCAGGTGTGTGGGATAGTGTACCTCTACAGAGGCAGGTGTGTGGGTGTAGTACACCTCTACAGAGGCAGGTGTGTGGGGTAGTGTACCTCTACAGAGGCAGGTGTGTGGGATAGTGTACCTCTACAGAGGCAGGTGTGTGGGATAGTGTACCTCTACAGAGGCAGGTGTGTGGGTGTAGTACACCTCTACAGAGGCAGGTGTGTGGGGTAGTGTACCTCTACAGAGGCAGGTGTGTGGGTGTAGTACACCTCTACAGAGGCAGGTGTGTGGGATAGTGTACCTCTACAGAGGCAGGTGTGTGGGTGTAGTACACCTCTACAGAGGCAGGTGTGTGGGTGTAGTACACCTCTACAGAGGCAGGTGTGTGGGTGTAGTACACCTCTACAGAGGCAGGTGTGTGGGTGTAGTACACCTCTACAGAGGCAGGTGTGTGGGTGTAGTACACCTCTACAGAGGCAGGTGTGTGGGATAGTGTACCTCTACAGAGGCAGGTGTGTGGGATAGTGTACCTCTACAGAGGCAGGTTCTACAGAGGCAGGTGTGTGGGATAGTGTACCTCTACAGAGGCAGGTGTGTGGGATAGTGTACCTCTACAGAGGCAGGTGTGTGGGATAGTGTACCTCTACAGAGGCAGGTGTGTGGGATAGTGTAGTACACCTCTACAGAGGCAGGTGTGTGGGTGTAGTGTACCTCTACAGAGGCAGGTGTGTGGGATAGTGTACCTCTACAGAGGCAGGTGCAGGTGTGTGGGATAGTGTACCTCTACAGAGGCAGGTGTGTGGGATAGTGTACCTCTACAGAGGCAGGTGTGTGGGATGTAGTGTACCTCTACAGAGGCAGGTGTGTGGGATAGTGTACCTCTACAGAGGCAGGTGTGTGGGTAGTAGTGTACCTCTACAGAGGCAGGTGTGTGGGGTAGTGTACCTCTACAGAGGCAGGTGTGTGGGTGTATAGTGTACCTCTACAGAGGCAGGTGTGTGGGATAGTGTACCTCTACAGAGGCAGGTGTGTGGGTGTACCTCTACAGTGTAGTATACCTCTACAGAGGCAGGTGTGTGGG